TGATTCAATATTCCCGGGGTTCGTGCTACTCAACGTGCTTTGGGTCTAAGTCACTATAGTCACTATATGGGGGTTGATCAAGATTCCCGACCCCCAAATGACTATGGGCAACTTTCCCATTTAGTGCTTCCCAATTCGGTCGTACTTTCCTTTTGGCGGTTGCTTTCCCATTTAGTTACTAGGTCCTCCAGTGGAGAGGTTAAAACAAGGGCACCTTTTTTTGTTCTGTAGTCTATTTTGGTAGGGGAACCCTCTCCCAAAAAAGGGTGAAAGGGCACTGCTGGGGGACCTTGCTGGTAAACAACTGAGTTAAGCCTCGTGGGAAGATATCAAAAAAACTATGTCCAATGGTGAAATCGCTTCCCTTTAACAACCAACAGGGGAAAAGAACAAATCTTCTTTTCAGCGAATGCAAGTCAATTCGGTGGGGATTCGGCTCGGCACCCCCCAATTGGGGTGGGGTCCAAATCCTAAGGACGAGCCCAAAACCACCGCCAAACACTTTGGTGCCTTCCCAGCGCTGTGGGGATTTGAACATGGAGTCTTCTGACCCAAAGGTTAGCCGAAAGAAAGGGGTCCTGGCCATAGGTGTCCTTTTAGGGAAATAGATGGCCCTGGTAGATGATTCAACCACCAGGTAAACCAGTGCCATCTATTTTTGAACCAAAACCACCCAAAAAGGGCACCTATGGTCCTGGCCCTTTTCCCATTGATTCGGAGCACAATGGAAACTCCTCATACCTTCCGGTTTTGGAGTGTAGCCAGGTTACCAACATACTAAGTAAGCACCGAACAACCAAGGAAGTGGGTGCCAGTTCATTTCCTTCCGCTTCAAGGACTCGAGTTTCACATCCAAAGGAGCAACCCTTGGTAAGCCCATGGACCAAACCCAAGGCGTTCCTCCTCGCTGCCTTGAAGCCCCTGATTCCAAGCAACACTCTTTTGGAGCACTTGCATCTGTTCACTGAGATTTGAACCATACCCGCGTGGCAGGGCGCGACTTTCGGTGAAAAGGCGACTGTTCCCGAGCAAAAGCCGACTTCCCCCGACCTGGCTTGCACAACACGACGAAGGGTCCTTTCGGAACAAAGCCGGCAAATTCGATGGCACAGGAATATAGGGTGGACACTCTGAGCTCACGGCGAGGCATTGCTTTTGTGTGACAGCTCGCGGGTTGGGCACATTGGCAGATAAAACTATGGGTGCGGATATACTTCGGGATTCTTTTCTGTTTTTTGTTTTCTCGTCCGGGCCAGTAAAATGTCGTAGTTTACAGCATTTTCTCGCGAAATTGACGCATTTTACACTAGCCCGTCAACATCCCCAGCATCGTTTTCAACATCCCCCGCATGTCTGGCCAACATCCCTAGCATCACCAACAAATCGTGGGTAACAAAATCGGAAAGAACAAAAAAAGCTGGCGGGTTGACGGGGTCAAAACAAAAGATGATTCAGATAGGAGGGCATTTCATGATGTTCGCAGAAATGATGATTCGAATAGGGGTGCAATTCAATCTCTGCAAAAGTCTAAAAAGTAGGAGGGGGGTTTGGGGGGGCGGCAGCCCCCCCATGACGTTTGAAGAATTGATGATTCAACTAGGGGTGCAGTTAAATCTGTGTAGAACATCTAAAGCGTAGCGGGGGGGTTGGGGGTGGCGGCAGCCCCCCCCCATGATGTCGGTAGGGATGCAATGATTCAAGAAAGGGTGCGATAGAATTTAAAAGGCAGCGGGAGGGTTGGCGGGGGTGGCTTCCCTTATGATGTTCGAAGAAGTGCATACATACAGACATACATGGATTACACAGATTACCTAAAATATTGTATTTTGCAGCATTTTCTCGCGAAATTGGACGCTCGAAAAAGTGATGATTCAAATAGAGGTGCAATTCTGCAAGAAATCTACAAGTAGCGGTGGGGTGGGGGGGGGGGGGGCGGCAGCCCCCCCCCCATGATGTTTGAAGAAGTGTTGATTCAAATAGGGGCGCAATTACTCTGCAAACAATCTAAACAGTAGCGGGTGGGTTGGGGCGAAGAAGTGATGATTCAAATAGGGCGGAACTGGTGATGCTGATGATGCGGGAAGCCAAATCCAAAAACCAATGAAAGGGTGCAAAATCCAAAAAGCCCAGAGAGGAACTGTGAAAGCAGAGGCTGCGAAAAGCCAAAGCCAAAACCCACCTGCCGAAGAGGAACTGGGAATGCAAAGAATGCGAAAGCCAAAGCCAAAAGCCACCAAAAGCCGCATAAACCAACAAAAAGCCGAATAGCCCAGAAGCCAAGAAGCCAAGAAGCCGAAAAGCCAAGAAGCCAAGAAGCCAAAAAGCCAAGAAGCCAAAAAGCCAAAAAGCCAAGAAGCCAAGAAGCCAAGAAGCCAAGAAGCCAAGAAGCCAAGAAGCCAAGAAGCCAAAAGCGAAAAACCAGAAAAATCCTAAAATCAATACCCCTCCTAAAACTATTGGCGTTGGCCTCAAATGTCCTCCAGCACGAAACGTTATCCAAGTACAGGTATTGGGTGGTAAAAACCCGCGAATGTGATCCCCCGAATGTGATTTCCTGGTTGGAGAATAGATTCCCTTTACCCATGAGCGGATGGAAGGCATTGGCCTTCAGGGTTCAGGCTCTGAGGTTCTGAGAGTCCTGATCTTATACAGACTCGGTGCCAGTTGGATGCAGCACCTCCTGCCAAAAGTAAAGCCTTCGTCAAACGAGACGAAGACTCTTCCACAAGCTGGTCTGTGCAATGCTCTGGAGGGTAACTGGCCATGTTCGACCAAGATGCGTAGGACCACGCCGGCGGCGCTTCCTCGGAGATGGTCGCCGCGGGGTTCGCATCGGCGAACACCGCCAGGGCTGCATCGGCGCAGGCTCGGCCGGTGGCAGCGGCCGGGCTGGCGAGCACTACTTGCTCCTCGGGCATGGCTTGATGAGTCCGGCTCCGAACGCAGCTTTCAGGTGCCATTGGGCTGTGGGTCAAAACCAATGGTACCATTTTGGGATAGGTGCACCACCCATTTTAGTCTATTTTAGCGGGGATTGGGATGTTCACTGGGGGTACGGGGTTTCGACCCAGCAATGCCCCGTTCAAGTCACGGACATACCCCCGATAAACTCGACCCCGAACCGCAGGTGCTCAAAGCCGATCTCAGAGCATTTCAGGTTCTATGAGTGTTGACTGAAGGAAGCCCCCCTCCACATCTATATCGCGATAAGCCGCTGCATCTCTCTGAATGGGGAAGCCCCGCAATGAAGCGAAGAAGCGATGAAACTTGCACGCAAGTTTAAACGCCTAAAGGGCTGCTCGGGAATACAAAAGGAGCAAACCACAAAAAGTGTGAAGCTCACTTTTTGGGCAGAGTGGCCAAAAGAAGTAACCAAACTTGTTTTCTACCACTTGCATGTTTCAGACCTCAAAAGTGACAAAAGCACGAAACGTAACTCAGAAAGTGCGAAAATCCCGGATCGGAAAGGGACATGTGTTTCTTCCAGACCTCTGGTCCTCTCAAGGGCCCTCCCGAACGACTTGATCTAGCCTAAACAATTCGCACGGAGCATCGTCTCTGAAATTACTGGTGACCTCTACATGGCTTTGTTTTAAATTCGGGAACCCATCTGTTGGTTTTCCCCGTGGATCCATTTGCCTGTATACTAAGTTACCAAGACCCCTTGACACCCTAAAAAAAACTAAACGGAAAATAGTGAAGGTCTACCTACTATAAGGGCTTCCCTGGCATCCACCGCGTTTCCTTTTTGGTTTCCCCATGAAAATGGCATCTGGGTTCTCTTTTGGTTTCCCCTTTGCAAAAAAAAATCGGCACCGGCCAAACCGATCTGCATAATGGTTCCCTGTTCAAAGGCATTGTGAACGAACCCGTTCCCACAACCAAAAGGAGCCTTAAAAACTGTGGGTGGAAGAACTGGATAGATGAAACCCTACAAATAATGGGAGCAAACCACCTACCAACTGGTGCAGGATTTTGTCCATCCACAGTAGGGGCACTGCAAAACTCAGCGAAACATACCCGTCCGCTTTTGGCTTCCCTTTGGGGGAATCTAACTATCTCGTGCCCCGCAATCACTGGCTGAGCTCCCCGCAAAGGCGCTTCCCAAAACCAGCAACGCCTCACCCAGGGCGCGCCCCACTGCCTCGCAGACACAGAGAAGGGTAGCCTCCAAAGAACCTACACCCAAGAAACATCTAGCCGTGAGGTTGCAAGGGACCCCATGTTCTCACGAGGCAAGAAACTATCCCGGGGAAAGACCTTGAGCGACGGGACACTTCCAGATGGAGAGTTTGGGTTCGCTCCAAAAATGGGGAGGGGGGGGTGCCCGAAAAAACGAGTCATTTCTCAAACCGATTTCTTGTTAAGACAAAGAACATTTTTAGTTGGCAATCCCCTCCCTGACAAGGCCAAATGGGGTTGGACTTGAAGAAATTGCAGTGTCTTTGTCTTCGGGCTTTGGAGCAGGGCGTGATGGCAAATGAAGCTTGTCATGACAGAATCCTTTTGACCTGGTGCGCTGTTCACCATCACTTCATCCCTTCCTCCAGAGATGAAGCTTGACATGGACAGCATGACACGCAAATCTATTTTTTGCCCGCGCTCACGGTCCATGAATGGAGAGAACAAGTCAGAAAGTTCTCCGATACGCCTGGAAGTTCAAGTGATTTTGGCTAAATGACCCAGGAACGCCCACACAGTTTGGCTCCATCAAGGTAGCATAGGTTCATAAAGGCCTCCTCCCCGACCGTTTGTCAACGCCAGCAAACCCCTTTTAAAACCACAACATCATTTTGCCCCACCCCTCCCCCAAAAAGCAACAACAAAACCAACAACTCGATCCCTGTTCAGAAATGTCAAACCCTTCGGCTTCGGACTCGCGGAGACGCCTGGGGCTCGTTCCTGAAGACCCCGCAGCCCGCGTCCGGCAGCACCAGGCAGTTGGCCCCGGCCACAAAGGCCGCCACCAGCGCTGCCCGCCACCGCGCCTTCAGCGCCTCCGTCTCGACGGTGCTCGCGGGTCGCGACGAAAAGAGGAGACGGCCATGGGGTTATTTCCTCCTTTGGGGGAAATAGATGGCCCGGATGATTGAACCACCAGGTAAACCCGGGCCATCAATTTTTCGAGCAAAACCAAAAAGGACACCTAGGCCCATGGGGGTGAGGGGAGACTCCATGTTTAAATGTTCAAATTCCAGCGCCGCAGATAGGAAACAGCTTTGGAGGTGTTTTCATCTGGGCTCGTCTTTTACGATTTGGACCCCTTACACTGGCGCAACTCTTGGATTCCTCGGGGAAAACAAAAGTTCGTTGTGCGTCACCTTACTGAACCGAACGTCACTTGAAATTGGCTCGAAAGTGATGTTTAAAGCCAAAAGAGGCAATACTGGGACCCCTGCCTGGAGTCTGCATGACCCCTAGAAAAAGGGGAATGACCCCGTTTTCAAAGGGTCATGGAGACTCCAGGTGCATTAATTCTCTAAGAGTTGAGACAATCTCACAAGTGTGGACCTGAATCCCCATCGAAATGATGTCCAAAAGTCCCAATTGGTGGTTTCGATAGGTGGCTGGTGGTGAAATGGAGAGTTCTTCCCATCTGCCCTCCACAAGGGTTCCAAGAACCCAAACAAAATCCAAACCACCAAAAAAGAAGAAGAAGAAGAAAACAAAGAAAAAAAACAACAGTATGATTAAGACGGGGATACCCGATACCCGATAAAACAAAAAAAGAAGGGATACCCGAAGCAAAGGAGTCGCCAATGTTGAGCATCGGTCATTGATTTCGGCTTCCGCGCGGCCTCCATGTACTCGGTGTGATCTCGGGGCGCATCCACCGGGGAGTCGGACATGCGCTCGTTGCGGTTCGGCATCGCCACGGAGATCATGGCCTCCATTGCTGTCCCAGGAAACAAACGACGCCAAGCTGGGGGGACGTACCTGGAGTCTCCATGACCCTAAAAAAGTGGGGTCGCAACCCAAAATAATGGGGTCATTGACCCATTTTTGAAGGAGCTGGTCAAATCAAAATACCAGTTTCTGTTTGCTGTTCCTAGGTCAAAATTGGCTTGCTATTGAGAACCTAGCAACGAAGCCAAAGGCACTAAAAGGAGAAGCCACGAAAGAAAAGGAAACCAAGCCATATTGATCCTTGGGCTTTGATCATCCCAGAGGCGTTCCAATCCGAACAGAATTTCATCACCCGAATCGAGGCTTGGGCTTGAAACGAAGTGCCTGTTGAGTCATTCCCGCGGCTCCAACTCCCGATGACAAGGGTGACATTAGTCCCGGGTGCAGAAAGAATTCCATCAAAAACAAACAAACAAGATGAACATAAAAAAACAGCCAAAAAAACAACAACAACCAACAAACACACAAACAAACAAACAAACAAACAAACAAACAAACAAACAAACAAACAAACAAGCAAGCAAGCAAGCAAGCAAGCAAGCAAGCAAGCAAGGAAGCAAGCAAGCAAGCAATCAAACAAACAACCACACAAACAAACAAACAGCCACACAAACAAACAAGCAAACAAACAAACAGGCAAAAGAACAAAGCAACCAAACAAGCAAGCAAGCCAACAATCAATCAAACCAGCAAGAATTCTACCTTCGTGGTTTGAGCATGGTTCCCTGGCCTGTCTGTCTGAGCGATATGGAACCCAAAGGATAAAGGGCTTCAGTTTGGCTGCCCCTTACAAGCAGCCCCTTTTTGGGGCTTCCCGAACCAACAACACCCGGCGATGCATAACTCAAGTGGCCTGGACCAAGCAAAGGCTTGGCCCCAACCGGCGATATCTGAAACCGCCCAGCTGAAATGCGAGGAACGCTTGTGCCAAAGAGCCAACAGGGGAGGGCACACCATTTCAAACGCATCCCGTATCAGCTGTATCCGCTTAGGCAATTTAACGCGAAATGAGAGGAAGGACAACCCGGAGCTCGGGCAAGCAAGTTTGTATACATGTGACATCAGGCACAGGATGCGCGAGGGTCTATGTGTCCCTCCTGGCAACAGGATCGCTTCCAATGGAAACTCCACCCCAAATTGACCCAGGTGATCTCTAATGTCTAAAACCTATCTCCGCTTAAATCGTTGTGCTGTTCTCTCTGCAATTTTCGAACTCAACCTAAGTGAGGTCTCCAAAATGGATTTGTCACCTCTTGACGTTCCCCCCCACCAAAGCGGTGTCAGTATCCGCACTGAGGAGTCGCGCTTCGAAAGAAGTATGCTTCAATTTCCGACTTCACGTCGGCCAGACCGAGGTCTGCGAATGATCAAGCGCACGAGCACTCAAATAAGCCCAGCTGCCGGACCCATGGACGTGCCATGTGGCCAACCACATGACTCCCCCGGTGGAAACACGGAACTTCCACTCAGTTGTTCAGTGACCCTGGAAAAAAAAGGGAAACCTTTTGGGGAAGACCATTTTTAGTGGGACAGCCACCAAAAAAAGAAGGGGAAAAAGAATTGGTGCCACTGAACTGAGTCCACGCCTGCAGCAAAAAGGGTCGCTGCATGAAGGGGTAGCCTTCGTTGGTGCCCCGCCGAAAGACTTCCACCCAGGGCGACAGCAGCGCCCCATCTGCAGGTAGATGCGGCGTCCTGGGAAAAGGATCGCTAGTTCTCGGCAGGGGTTCCAATAAGGGTGGCAAGCAACAACTTGCTTTTTTGTCGGCAGGCATTCCCTACTGAGCACCGGCAAGTGCTGTCTTTTAGCTGTTGCTCAACATAGGAACCGCCCAGTTGAACTTAGCCGGTAGAAAAAGGATCGGAACCGTTGAGTCTTGGAGTTGACTTCCTTAGCGGTTTCAGACTCTTTCAAATCAAAGAAACAAATTTTCACGGGGCCCGGCATGCACCGCGCCGGTGGACCCACTCGTCGCTTTTTTGTGCCGCGGCGCCAGCGATCCCCCAGCCAGGGGGGAGATCTGACGTTGGCCTCATGGGCCAACTGCTGGCCCCGCTGCAGCGAGGAATACAAGGTGCTCTGCACCTGGGACATGGGCTCCAGATCGTCGAAGAACTGCCTGGAGTCTCCATGACCCTTTCTTAAAAATGCCAAAATTAAGGAAAAACATGACCCCTGTTTCTACTGGTCATGGAGACTCCAGGTGGGGGGGTCACGGCATAGTGATCTGTGTTGGAACCCCTTTGTGAAGGATGCCTCTGCCTTGGCGTCACGGTCACTTGCCACGGCCTTCGGGCTTTACTCAGCGGATGGGAACGGTTGTGGGAGAGCAATGGGAGAAATCAGCCGCGCAAGATTGGAACAGCTTCCCCTTCGCGGGGAAACTTGCCTCTTTTCACGTGTCAAACTCGGGAAGTTTGGATTTCCTGGTGTCCTGTTGGGTTCCCGAGAACACACCCAACCGATATAGTAAAGGGTGCCTCAGCAAAAGAAATTGGACGCAGCCATTTGGGAACCTCAACCTAAACATAAGGCTACCTCCAACATCAAAATTGGCACCAAGAACAGGGGTTACTGCGGCATGCGCCAACAAAGTCCACTCCGCAGGGCGTCCCTACATGGGCCGACTGTTGAAGGTTGGGCCAACAAAACTTCGCAACAGTCTCCCTTCGGCTTCCCTTCAAAACCACCAAGCATGGCCATACCGAGCCTCAAAACACAGACTCGGAAGCCCGACCTGGAGTCTCCACGACCCTTAAAATATGGGCTCCTTACCCAAAATTAACATGGTTAGACTTAGGCCCAGGTATAGAATGTATATTATATTGTTTGCTTCCCTTTGAGTCACTGGTAAAATGTAAAATGTATCCTAAGTCTAACCCAGTTAAGGATGGCGCCCTTTCTCTAGGGGTCAGAAGAAGACTCCAGGTACATATTGATCCTCGGCGCGCACATGGACTCCTCGAGCGCATGCCTGCCCCCGCTGGAGAACCCGCCCCCGCAGTGGTACGCGGAAGCGGCGTTCACCGCCGCCACCTTGTAACCTCGGTACCCATCGGGACGTGGGCCAAACCCATGGGGCCCGAGAGGTCGACATCTCCGCCCCCCCCGAGAAAGCCCCCCAAGAGGTGGCAACCACCCCCCGCAGAAGGGCACAGAAAAGGAAGCCCCAAGCCCAGGGCCTTCGGGCACCCGGTAGGCCACCATAGCAACGGACATGTTTTTCTGTCCAACGGACAGAGCTAGGAACTACTGTGTCAAGAAAGCATGTCATTACCTGAATTCCTCAGGAAGGGATGACAGTGCCTACCAAGTAAAGCATGTGGTTTGACCTTGGCACAGCGAACATGGGTTCTCCAACTGGCCCCAATGGTGGGGTTCCTTCTGCTTCTCCTGAAAGACCGTGGTCAAACTTCTGAACCGGCGAAGGCTTCTCAAAAATGGACCCCTTTTTGCCTTGGTGGTTGAAGGGAAACTCATTCCTGGCCCCTGTTTTGAAAACCTTCATGGCAACTCCTTGCGTGCAAATAGGATTCCTTATCAAAGATGACACCCACCACAAATGAGCATGGTTCCACAAACAGGGCACCCTGCCAAAAAAATGTTCCAAAATTGCGATCGTGATGTGGGGTCAACATTTGGTGCCTGACGGAAAACCATGGCCCATGGCCCAGGTTGCTCACCCCGTTCCCCCCACAGTTTCCCATCTGGGATGTGTTTTCCATTGGAGATTTGACCATGGGTCAAAATCCGGTACCCCCAGTGAACATCCCAATCCAACCACTAAAATAGACTGGAATGGGTGGTGCACCTACCCCAAAATGGTACCATTGGTTTTGACCCACAGCCATTTGAACATGTCTCCTTCTGCGCCGAATCAAAACATGGGGTCCGTTCTTCCCCATGTTTGGTTCGGGTCAGACCCTGTTTCATCATTCGCTTCCCGCTTCCCCGAGCCGAACAAAAGACCGAGCGAGCGAAAAAGAGCGAGCGATTGATTGAGGCGCGCCTTTGGCGCACCACGCTTCCGCGGACTCCAGAACGGTCTTCTGCTCAAAGACAAGGCTCGAAGTTGCGGACCTCGAGATCGCGCTCAGCGCCAGGCGCTCAGGCGCTCAGGCGCTCAGGCGCTCAGTTAATGTGATGCCCAAAGGAAGCCACCGGCTGTTGAGGGTTTCCTATATGTCGATTCTCACCAGGACATATAGAATCTCGCAAGAATCTTGGTCGTTTTCTTGTTGGCGTCCAAAATGGACAGCTTGAAGCCGTGTTTTTCAGAATGGGTTGTGCTGACCTCCGAGTAACGGTAACGCCTTCCACATGCGCAGCTAAGCAGCGGCTCAGGCAAGGAGGTGTCGGCAGTGGGCCAGAAACCACAGGAGGGGGACACCAGCTTGGTGCCCGCCACGCAGCGGCTGATGTGGCGCAAAAGCACGGTCTGGTTGCCTCGGATTAGCTCGGCTGGCCGGCACCCGGCAGAAAATAGGGAAAGGCCCTGTTTGTCCAGTCCGGCCTACTTGTACCTTTGGTGTACTTGTTGAAGCAGGCTCCCCCCCCCCACGGGGGCGAGCGGTTTTGTGCACCAAAGCTGTGAGTCGCTTGCCTTGCCTGCACATAGCACCACAGACCACACGGAGCCATCGCAAAACGCGGCCAACAGTGGAGTGGAGTGCCTCTGGCACTCAACTGTGGGTGGTATCTGAAAACTGGCATTGGCATCAGTTACCCTGTTTCCAACACAAGTTGCCGAGTTGGGTGGTTAGAAAAGAACCGTCCAAGCGCAGCTGCAACGCCGGGCTTCTTTTGAACTCCTTTCACAAAGCTTTGAGTTTGGGGGGTTCCCATCTTGACAGCCGTAGCTGCCTATGCTTGGGAGGCGCATCATGGGTGAGCCGGGTAAGCCACAAAGCTCCTTGTAATTTCTGTAGAAACATCACCAAATTTGAACATGCGTCATCTAGCGCAAGAGCAATATGTTTTGGCCTCTCCTTGCTTCTCATACTGTGGATGGACGAAATCCTGCACCACCTCAAAAACCCTGGAATAATAATTTCCTTAATAATATTAACCAAAAACCAATGGTGTCCAATGGATTCAACCTGGTGCGAAGGGATTTCGCAACCATCCACGATATGGAAACCCATACCGCTGCCCGATTCATTGCAAGTCTTAGCTGATTTCGTCAGGAGAGATCACCAAGAAGCTGGAGAACGCTGAGCCTGAATCCTCAAGACTAGACTGGGCTGCCCTCAGATCGCCCGCTGAAAGTGACTCACTTTTAGTGGGTTAAATGGAAACTACCACTAAACACCAAAAGGCCAAAAAGCTAAGGAACCGGATGGTTGGGAGCCACCAAGTAGACATGACCCCTATCTACCATGGTTATAGCGGGAATGTAATGCATATGTATAATAATAAAAACGATACATATAAATAATATGGGGACGCCCCACCAAAACAAAATGGGTTGTCCTTTTGGATTCGGTACTCCCAAAAAAGGACACACCTATATTAATATAGTAAAGGCCTTGCCTTACTGTGTCCTTTCTCAAATCAGGGACTAGACGCACTACAAAATGGCCCCTTTTTTGGAGGTTCGGCTTTGGAGGTTCCGGGCGCTTTGGGAAAGCCACAACGTCAAAAGATCACAGCCAGGGTGCCCATTCTGTCCTCCATCCTGCCTTGGACTATGAGCCCAAACAAATAGGTTGGGGGTCGACAAACCCGAAAAAGGGGGCTTCATAGCCACATTTCTCCACTTGGGGCTTGACTCGCACTGGTGGATCCACGCGTAAAATCCAGTTGGTGTCCCTTTTTGACCTCAACAGGTACTCCCAAAAACGCCCACCGAAGGCCTCTTTGGCCAATTGCCACCCTCAAAGTTGCCGTCAAAGCACCCAAGACGTAGCCCAAACACTCCACGCAGCGGCTGGTCTGACCTGGATGCAACTCACCAAAGGAAACACAGGCAACCAACTGAATGGAACCTCCACCCTGTTCAGTGGGAGAAACCGGGAACCGTCTGGGTATGGGCTAAAAACCTCGAGGGGACTGCTTGTTTTAGTCCTGCAGTCCACTTATCAGGGCAAGGTGGATGAAGGTTAGTCAGTCTCAATGGCCACAGCGTGGCGCCAACGGATCGACACCAGGAAATCTCCTTGCCAACTCGGCTGCCGAAACCAATTCAGCCTGGACACGCAAAAAACCGAGCGAGAATCTGTGCTTGTCACATTTTGCCACTTCAGGATGATGCGGATGAGGATAAGGATAAGGATAAGGATAAGGATGATGCTGATGATGATGATGAAGAAAATGATGACGACGATGATGCTGATGATGACAAGGATATCTCAATCAAACTTGAAATGCTGCATTAAACCCTGACAGAAAGAGGTAACCTGGAACCAAGACTTGTCCACCATCTGCGCCCGTTTCACAGGAAACAAGCCAACGTGTCCGATCGCTTGCACCAAAGGACAAAAGGTGTGTGTGTGTGTGGCATCCGAAAGAAACCGAGTTGTTAGAACCCATTTAACAGCTCATTTTCCGGATCTCCTGCTGGCTGGGTCTCAACCCTCCCATGGACAGAAATCACAATATGTCTTACATCTCGCCAACAACAAGAAACGTCCATTTGCTTCGTTGCTTAAGCCGCCTGAAAAAAACATAAAACCGATTTTCCTTTCAGCAAATTTGGAAGGAAACTGTATCCTAAAGGCGAAGTATAATAGGTCCTCCAGTAGAGAGGCTAGAATCAGGGTACCAACTTTATTATGGTTTGTCTATTTTGGTAGGTGAACCCTCCCAACCAAAAAAGAATCGGTAAAAGTTGGCACCTAGCTGGGGGACCGAGTATGGAGAGCCCAGGAAGCCAGGCGCCTGCCACTGCTCTCCTGGCCGCCCTCTCAGGCTCGCTGTTCCCAGTGCGGAGCCAGGTGTGCGTCCCGTCGCTGCCCAAAGCTGGTGCGCTGGCCGGGTCAACGTGGAAGACATCCCTTGGCCCACACACGGTTTTGTCAGTTTTTGCGGCCAACCCCACAGGTTTTGGTCAGTTCTTGCGGCCAACCCCCTTCTTTCTGTTGGCTTTTGCGGCAAGCCGAAAGGTCACCAACCAGTATAGGGGGGGTCTAGCCAATTCCCGCCAACCCCTTGCTGAAAGGGGGGGCGCTAGATGCAAGGGTATGTTTTGAGTCTACGAGCTACATCATCATACTTGCTCCCTTAGGCACTGGGGTTGGGGGTGATGCTAGTAGTGCAATCAGCTTTGATCACTATTCCTTATATGTAATCACGCTGGGCTTTAACACATATCTCCAGTAGTGATAGATTCCCTTTAAAACCAAGAGATGAACATTACATAATATTCTTAAGCAAATGGACGAGGGGCACAAATCCTTGTCGTTTGCCGAAGAAGAAATTAGTTTCTTTGCACTCGCTGAGGCTTGATGGTACCCTGCTCTTCCAGGGTCGACATGCGAAGGAAACCAGGATCTGTATCACCGGCAAATGTTTCAATGCGTTCTGGTGTGTCTTCTTCCTCGTCTGTGCTTCCTGCATGACGTACTCATGTGATCGACACATCGCTGCGTTGCTGGCAACCAGTTCAGTTTACAAGCAGAGTCGATGAAAAACACGTGTCGCCTGGGGTTGGGTATGATAGTTTGTTTTTTCCTTCTTTTTTATCGGGCGTACTGACGACCAGAGTAGTCTACATAATGTTGCAACTTTGCACGTATTCATGTAACCGACAGATGAGCAAGCGGCAAAACCTAAGACTACTTTGGGCGATTTCGAGCAACTGGTTATTCCCCAAACAGTTTACTGTGAGGGGTTCTAAATTCATTTAAGGTGGCTCGCCTGTTGCCAAGCCCTAGCCTGGATGCCTGGCACAGCTCTCTGGGTGGACGGGTTCATTTGTCTCCCTGTGTCTCCCTTCATTTGTCTCCCGTTGTCTCCCGCCTGGATGCCTGGCACGGCTCTCTGGGTGGACGCGTTCGTTTGTCTCCCTGGGTTCACTTGTCTCCCTTTGTCTCCCTTCATTTGTCTCCCGTTGTCTCCCAGCCTGGATGATCCAGTCTGGGTGGACGGGTTCATTTGTCTCCCTTTGTCATTTGTCTCCCGTTGTCTCCCAGCCTGGATGCCTGGCACGGCTCTCTGGGTGGACGGGTTCATTTGTCTCCCTTTGTCTCCCTTCATTTGTCTCCCAGCCTGGATGCCTGGCGCGGCTCGGGTTCATTTGTCTCCCTTTGTCTCCCTTCATTTGTCTCCCGTTGTCTCCCAGCCTGGATGCCTGGGTGGACAGATTCACTTGTCTCCCTTTGTCTCCCTTCATGTGTCGCCCGTTGTCTCCCTCCCTTGATTTCTCCCGTTGTCTCCCAGCCTGGATGCCTGGCACGGCTTTCTGGGTGGACGGGTTCATTTGTCTCCCTTTGTCTCCCTTCATTTGTCTCCCGTTGTCTCCCAGCCTGGATGCCTGGCGCGGCTCTCTGGGTGGACGGGTTCATTTGTCTACCTTTGTCTCCCAGGATGTCTGGCACCCCTTTGTTTCCCTTCATTTGTCTCCCGTTGTCTCCCAGCCTGGATGCCTGGCACTGTTTTTTTGGTGGACAGATTCACTTTTCTCCCTTTGTCTCCCTTCATTTGGCTCCTGTTGTCTCCCAGCCTGGATGTCTGTCACGGCTCTCCAGGCGGACGGATTCACTTGTCTCCCTTGGTTCCCCTTCATTTGTCTCCCATCTCTGTGGGTGGACGGATTCATTTGTTTCCCTTTGTCTCCCTTTATTTGTCTCCCGTTGTCTCCCAGCCTGGATGCCTGGCACGGCTCTCTGGGTGGACGGATTCATTTGTCTCCCGTTGTCTCCCAGCCTGGATGTGTGGCACTCACGCTCCGCGGTTTCCTTCACTTCCCGCGGTTCTGTCCTTTTGGCGGGGTCTGGTTTGCCTTCGGCTTTGGCCCTGGCTTCGGTCATTCCTTGTCTTGTGGATGTTGGGGACAGGGTCCTCCTCTGTCTGCCCTTCATCTGGACTTCGATTTCGCTTGGGCTCGTGGTGGGTCGTCTTCCTTGTCTATCGTTGGCTACACCCTGTCTGTTCGTTCAGTGCCTCGTTATCAGTTGCGGTCCCGAGCTGACGATAGCGGTGCGCTGCGGTGCGCGGCTTCAGCTACGAGAAGGCTCTGTTAACCCCCCGGTGAAACAAACGTGAATCACGCTGGAGTTAAATCCTCTATCGATTCTTCGAGGATGTTCAACGAACCTTACGCTGAGATACCCAGTGGTGCTCTTGGCACCTGGGGTTGTCCCGGCTCTCCCGGCGGACGGGTTCATTTGTCTCCCTCTCCCTCCATTTGCCTGACGGATTCATTTGTCTCCCTTTGTCTCCCTTTATTTGGCCCCGGTTGTCTCCCAGCCTGGACGCCTGTCACGGCTCTCTGGGGTGGAGGGGTTCATTTGTCTCCCTTTGTCTCCCTTCAGCCTGGATTGTCTCTGGGTGGACGGGTTCATTTGTCACCCTTTGTCTCCCTTCATTTGTCTCCCGTTGCCTCCCAGCCTGGATGCCTGGCACGGCTCTCTGGGTGGACGGGTTCATTTGTCTCCCTTTGTCTCCCTTCATTTGTCTGGCACGGCTCTCTGGGCTTTGTTTCCCTTCATTTGTCTCCCGTTGTCTCCCAGCCTGGATGTCTGGCACGGCTCTCCAGGCGGACAGATTCACTTGTCTCCCTTTGTCTCCCTTCATTTGTCTCCCGTTGTCTCCCAGCCTGGATGCCTGGCACGGCTCTTTGGGTGGACAGTTTCACTTGTCTCCCTTTGTCTCCCTTCATTTGGCTCCCGTTGTCTCCCAGCCTGGATGTCTGTCACGGCTCTCCAGGCGGACGGATTCACTTGTCTCCCTTGGTTCCCCTTCATTTGTCTCCCATCTCTGTGGGTGGACGGATTGATTTGTCTCCCTTTGTCTCCCTTTATTTGTCTCCCGTTGTCTCCCAGCCTGGATGCCTCTCTGGGTGGACGGATTCATTTGTCTCCCTTTGTCTCCCTTTGTTTGTCTCCCGTTGTCTCCCAGCCTGGATGCCCCTCTGGGTGGACGGATTCATTTGTCTCCCGTTGTCTCCCAGCCTGGATGTGTGGCACTCACGCTCCGCGGTTTCCTTCACTTCCCGCGGTTCTGTCCTTTTGGCGGGGTCTGGTTTGCCTTCGGCTTCGGCCCTGGCTTCGGTCATTCCTTGTCTTGTGGATGTTGGGGACAGGGTCCTCTGTCTGCCCTTCATCTGGACTTCGATTTTGCTTGGGCTCGTGGTGGGTCGTCTTCCTTGTCTATCGTTGGCTACACCCTGTCTGTTCGTTCAGTGCCTCGTTATCAGTTGCGGCCTCTCTCTGTCCTTGCTCGCATTTGGAGTCCCGAGCTGACGAGAGCGGTGCGCTGCGGTGCACGGCTTCAGCTACGAGAAGGCTCTGTTAACCCCCCGGTGAAACAAACGTGAATCACGCTGGAGTTAAATCGTCTATCGATTCTTTGATGATGTTCAACGAACCTACGCCGAGATACCCAGTGGTGCTCTTGGCACCTGGGGTTGTCCCGGCTCTCCCGGCGGACGGGTTCCTCTCCCTTCATTTGCCTGACAGATTCATTTGTCTCCCTTTGTCTCCCTTTATTTGGCCCCGGTTGTCTCCCAGCCTGGATGCCTGTCACGGCTCTCTGGGTGGACGGATTCGTTTGTCTCCCAGCTTGGATGTCTGGCACGGCTCTCCGGGCGGACGGGTTCATTTGTCTCCCTTTGTCTCCTTCTTGTTGTCCCCCAGCCTGGATGCCTGGCACGGCTCCCTGGTCATTCGCGGTGTATTCCGCGGGCACGCATGTGTGTTTGAGGCTCAGAAACGTGTGTTTGAGCGCGCGCGTGCGCTTGATCAAGCCACAGGCAGCATGCTGCGGATGCACGTACGAGTGCTTCAAGTAAATGATTGTGTGTTCTTGGTGTGTTCCAGCTGACCACATCGGCGCGTTCCAAGTGAACACGCACTTTTTGCATGTGACCACATGAGTGTGTTCCACGTCAGCACATGTTTGTGTTCCAGGTGAAAGCATGCGATTGTTCTGATAAAACACATATGCGATCCGGTCAAAATTCCTAGTAAGGGGGTTTAGTCTACAGAGGCCACCGTCGCAGTCACTTTGTGCAGTTTTTCATTCACACAAAGCGGAGTCCTGCAAATACCAATGGATTGCCCGCTCCCCACTGGAGGCGCTAGGATGGCGCTTGGTTTGCGCTAGGGTCTTCGGTGATCTTGGTTTCCAAGAGTTGGCGCGTGGGTTGCCGCGATGGGCTTTGCGTGGCTTTCAAGGGTGTAATGTTGCAGTTCTTACTTAGTACTTGAAGCCAGCCCGCACGTTTACCTTCATCTTACGTGGCCTTAATTTGTCAAATCCACACAGATGGTCGCCGTGACTCCAAAAAATACGGCGAACCCGCGCTAGCCGCGCGCTAGCAAGGCGCTAGCGCAGTGGTCAGCTGTGACCGGTTCCCAGTTACGCTTCAATCCAAATTTGCTTCCGCTCTCCTCGCATGCAATTATCATGGAGTGCGATTTGCTGGACAAAGGGGAGAAACAACGGCTGAGGCAAGACGGCAGGGATGCCTTGTACCGAGCATACGGAAGAATTGGGTTGCGTATTTCCCTGCGAAAGCAAATGCTTTACTGAATCGATACGAAGAGTTGCCACAATACGATCAAAGCACTTTAGCAATCGATACGAAAGACACTGTGCAGCTAAGCGAGAAAGAAGCGCAATGCGCCGGAAAGCTTTTGCTAAGCTGAAGCCTGTAACTGCTGGAGACGCATCCGATACTGATAGTACTAGCAGTAGTAGCAGCAGCAGCAGCAGCAGGCTCGCGCGCTAGCAATGTGTTGCAAAAAAGCTAGATTGATCGTACACGAACACTATTTTCCTACTTGGAACACGCATATAAAACACAAGCGTTGTTCAAGGCAGAGCCCCATGGAATAGCGCCTCACAGCCGGCTTCGGGAACTTGATTTATGTGTCGCCCAGGCGTGCAGGAAATGTAAATTCCATGTGAACACATTTTTGTTGTCCAGGTGAACGCATGTGTGTTGCACATTTGTGTTGCACATGTTTCTCCACATGTGCACACACGTGTGTTCCATGTGTACACATATGTGTGTTACAAGTCAACACAGAAGTTTGTTCTGGTTAAACATGCTTGTGTGATCCAGGTCTGCACCAGTGTCGCACGTGAACACAAATGCCTGTTCCAAGTGAGCGCATATATGGGTTCCAGGTGAACACATATGTGTGTTGCAGGTGAACAGAAATGTGCTTTCCAGACATACACACATATGTGTTCCAGGTGTACGCATGTGTGTGTGTGCGTGTTCCGGGCGCGCATATATATATATATATGTGTGTGTGTGTGTTCGCGTGTGCACATATGTGTGTTCCACATGTACACATATGTGCGTTCACGTGCGCACATATGCGTGTTGCACGTGTACACATATGTGTGTTCACGTGTACACACATGTGTGTTCTTATCAGACACGTGTATGTGTTCCAGGAGAACACATGTTTGTTATCAGATGAACACGTGCGTGTGTGTCTGCTCCGCGTGCACTTTTTTTGTATGTGTGTTCACGTGCACACATTGTGTGTTCACGCGTGCGCACATGTGCGTTCCAACTGGACACGTGTTTGTGTTCCAGGAGGACACATGTTTGTTATCAGATGAACACGTGTGTGTGTGTGTGTCTGCTCCGCATGCGCATGTGTGTGTGTTCATTTGCACACATATGTGTGTTCCACGTGCACACATTTGTGTGTTCACGTGTCCACACATGTGTGTTCCAATTGGACACGTGTTTGTGTTTCAGGTGAATACATGTTTGTTTTCAGATGAACGCACGTGTGTGTGTGTGTTCCGGGTGCGCATATATATGTGTGTGTGTTCACGTGTACACATATGTGTGTTCACGTGTACACACGTCTGTGTTCCAATTAGACACACGGTTGTGTTCCAGGAGAACACGTGTTTGTTATCAGATGAACACTCGTGTGTGTCTGTGTTTTCCGCGCGCGCATAAATGTGTGTGTTCACATGTGCAGTACACATGTGTGTGTTCCACGTGTGCTGTGTTCACGTGTACACATATGTGTGTTCACGTGTACACACGTCTGTGTTCCAATTAGACACACGGTTGTGTTCCAGGAGAACACGTGTTTGTTATCAGATGAACACTCGTGTGTGTCTGTGTTTTCCGCGCGCGCATAAATGTGTGTGTTCACATGTGCAGTACACATGTGTGTGTTGCACGTGTGCACATGTGTGTGTTCACGTGTGCGCATTTGCGTCTCCCACGTGTACACATATGTGTGTTCACGTGTACACACATGTGTGTTCCAATGGACACGTGTTTGTGTTCCAGGTGAACACATGTTTGTTTTCAGATGAACACTCGTGTGTGTGTGTGTTCCGGGTGCGCGTATATATGTGTGTGTTCACGTGTACACATATGTGTGTTCACGTGTACACACGTCTGTGTTCCAATTAGACACACGGTTGTGTTCCAGGAGAACACATGTTTGTTATCAGATGAACACGTGCGTGTGTGTCTGCTCCGCGTGCACTTTTTTGTATGTGTGTTCACGGCACACATTGTGTGTTCGCGCGTGCACACATGTGCGTTCCAACTGGACACGTGTTTGTGTTCCAGGAGGACACATGTTTGTTATCAGATGAACGCGTGTGTGTGTGTGTGTGTCTGCTCCGCGTGCGCATGTATGTGTGTTCATTTGCACACATATGTGTGTTCCACATGTACACATTTGTGAGTTCATGTGTCCACACATGTTTGTTCCAATTGGACACGTGTTTGTGTTTCAGGTGAATACATGTTTGTTTTCAGATGAACGCACGTGTGTGTGTTCCGGGTGCGCATATATATATATATATAAATATGTGTGTGTTCACGTGTACACATATGTGTGTTCACGTGTACACACGGTTGTGTTCCAATTAGACACACGGTTGTGTTCCAGGAGACCACGTGTTTGTTATCAGATGAACACTCGTGTGTGTCTGTGTTTTCCGCGCGCGCATAAATGTGTGTGTTCACATGTGCAGTACACATGTGTGTGTTCCACGTGTGCACATGTGTGTGTGTTCACGTGTGCGCATTTGCGTCTCCCACGTGTACACATATGTGTGTTCACGTGTACACACATGCGTGTTCCAATTGGACACGTGTTTGTGTTCCAGGAGAACACATGGTTGTTATCAGATGAGCACACGGGTGTGTGTTCCGGGTGCACATATATGTGAGTGTTCACGTGTGCACATATGCGTGTTCACGTGTGCACATATGTGTGTTCCACGTGTACGCACATGTGTGTTCCAATTGGACACGTGTTTGTGTTCCAGGTGAACAGATGTGTGTTTCACGTGAACACATTAGTATGTGCTAGGTGAACTTTTTTTGGCATCTGACGACATATTTGCTCTCCAGGTGTGCACATGTATGCGCTCCAGAAAACGCATGATTGTTTTCGAGGTGCGCGCATGTGTGTGCGATTTAGGTGAGCATTTATGTTTGCTCACGTGTGCGCATATGTGTGTTCCACATGTACACACATGTGTGCTTTAATCGCACACGCGGTGTTCCAGGTGGACACATGTTTGTGTTCCAGTGGTATACATATGTGTGTCCCACGCGTACACACATGTGTGCTTTAATTGCGCGTCTTTGTGTTCCAGGTGAACGCATGTGTGTTCCACGTGTACACACATGTGTGTCTGAATTGGACACGCGTTTCATTGTGTTCCAAGTGAACACACATGTGTGTTCCACGTGAACGCATTAGCGTGTCGTAAGTGAACACATATGTGCGTTCCACGTTTGCACATGTGTGTGTGTGCTTTCCAAGAAGCACATGTTTGTTTTCCAGCTCAACACATTTATGCGTGTGCCGCAGGTGAATGTATACTGTTTCAGTCGTATACGTATGTGTGTTCCACGTGTACACACATGTGTGTCTGAATTGGACATGTGTGTTTGAACTGCCCATGTGACTGCGTGCTTGCGCGGCCACACTTGCGTTCACGCGCGCGCGCTCGCCCGCCATCGCGCGCGCTTGCCCAACCTCAGTTCTGGCGCGGTGCTGAAGCGCGAAGCACGCCAGCAACACACGTGCAGCAACGCAACGCGCGCCAGGTTCACGACTGCATCATTTTGATTCATCCGTGTTGAAGCGCAGAAAGCCACAAGCTGTTGGCATGTTTGTGCTCGCCCGTCAGCCCTCAACTGTTTGGGGTCTCTGCTGGTGTAATCGTTTTTGGGGTTTCGCTATATCGTTCTCCAATGTTTCAGACACTTGTGTGTTTGTGTCAGGGAAGGGTAAGGGGGGAAGAGAAAGAAGGGAGGAAGAGAGCAGAGGAAGAGAAACTAGGAAAAGAGAACGCAGGAGGAGAAAGGACGAAGGGAAGAAGGATGGGGAGGAAGGGGGTAAAGGAACCCAGGGAGTAAAGGAGCAAGGAAGGAGCGGAGCAAGGGAGAAAGGACGGTGGAAAAACAAAGAAGAGGAAGGGAGGAAGAGGAAGGGAGGAAATGGAAGGAAGAAGAGGAAGGAAGGGAGCAAGGGAGGAAGGCAGAAGGCAGGAACGCAGGAACGCAGAAGGCAGGAAGGCAGGATCGCAGGAAGGCAGCAAGGGTGTAGACGCTGCGCCTCCCCTCAAGATCTGATGCCGGGGAAGTTGATAACTTTGAGCAAATTCGGTCGTGCCCTTAAAGGGATGCCAGACCGGACAAAGAGACCGAGCAGTTGCAGAAAAGGACAACCTACAAGTAACAAGAACTCAACTCAGGAAAACAAAAGTCAGTTCAGGCCAATTCGCTTGGGGCAAGTCAGTATCACTGGGAAACATACGTCGAACCTGCACACACCTGATCTTGCAATGCTCGGAATGGATGATGCAGCTTCATGCAAGCTACCAGTCAAGTGCTTCTCATTCGAGGTCGGCAGCGCTGGGTGGCAGCCCTTGGATTTTGCCACATACATACCCTTTTTTGGATTTTTGGTGTGCATTCCTATGCATGGGTCATTTTGAGGATGCCCCATATGGACCCAGCTTCAAGGAGGGAATCAAATGGGTCGTTTACCTTTGCTTGAGCCTGGCGAAGATGAGACTCTGAGAACAAATTTCCAGTCGGTGCAAATTTTGAAGTGTCTCAAAGTCGGGTCCGCCTCAAAGCTCCGCCCAGCGCTTTGAACCGGTAGTACCGCAGGTCGACACCTCCGGGTTTTCATCTCCCACCCCATCACACTTTGATTCACTTCCGATCGAGTGGGTTGGCCAAAAACCAACTTGCTTCTTGCCGCTAAAATGGTCCAATTACCCAAAACGTGATAAATGTCCATGAACTCAGTGAGTTGATGAAGTGAGACATGCGGAAAAAAGGAAGGAACGACTCCTTTTGGGTCTGGCAAAAAGGGGAAACGGGAAGCACACCAGGCAAAGTCATGCCCACACGGCGTCATGGCGAATTGACAAAGGCAATTCCCCTCCCATCCGCAAACGGGGGTCGTGGTTTGGACCATTGTCCGGATAAATGGGACCATGTCCCTGATTTCATGCACCGGGCGGTCAGGCAGGTTGAATCCAAAGCTCCCACCACTCAGTGAGCACAGACAGAATACCCTTGCGCATGCAACAACACAGGTTCCACATGTTCAATACGCCGAGTGACCTGAGCACTCATGTCTTTTCTGATATCTTCCCTAAGCAGGAAATCTCTGAACGGCCCCAGGACCGTCTTCTGCGTGTGCAATGTCAAACGTGGAATCGGCTGGTCGCGCCCATCTGCCCCGCCTAGCTCATCTCCAGCCATCCGACGGAAATTGCTCCGAAGGCCCGATCCGGATAGAAATTCGGTCTCTGATGGACGAAATCCACCAGTTGCTGTGCTTGATGAAGGCTTACAGGGCTCCGTTCATCCATATTCATCTCGACCGGGATTTTCTCCATCATGGCAAAACCAAAGCAGCAAACTTCACCAATTTCTGCCTCGCCATCTTTT